TCCTCGCATGGGAGCCACCAGCTCGGAATTTTCTTCTTCTTATTTGGACTCATCCCTCAGCCGGTGGATTGAGTCCGATGGGAGATCTCGAGCGCTGGTGCTTTCCTTGGATTTTCGCACCAACCTCCTTTTTGATTTTATCTTCTCCGAGTTCGGAGGACTCGGAGCCCTTCTCTTCTTCTTCTCCTGACTCAGAGCAGGGGACTCAGCGGGGCTGTCCTCATCACTTGTTGGAGGCCTCGTGACGATATCCTTGGAAAGGACTGCAAAAGAAAAAAAGAAATAAGTAAGAAATCAACATCATAAAGGGGGTCCAAGTGCTGGTCACTCAAGAAAGTAATCTCACCGGGAGAACGGGCCTCCCACCGGCCCTTCGAAAATTCGCGCCAATCGCGTTCGAAATACATTTTCTGTGAGACAATGTCCTTAAATCATTCCTTGAGTCGAGGAACCACATGCAGAACTTGACCAATGGCTGCGTCGACACCGAACATCGATAAGAAAGGAGAAAAATAGAGTAAAAATAAAATTTTGGAAAACCGGAACTTTACTTACGTTTTGTGTTTCACTCCTCGGGGAACGGCATGTCCTTGACCGAGATCAGGTCCGAGGTCCTCACTCGGAAAAATTGGCCTAGCGAACCTCGGTCTCGGTCTTCATCGATACTCGAGAACAGGGCTTTAGAGGCCCAGCGTGCGAGTTTAATCAGCCCCCCTCCCCAAAAAATTCAGGGACTATATAGGCGCATCAGATGGTCAACGGTGAATGGCATCTGTTAATCTTGCTCACGAAGGATCGGAGAAGAATAACTATCATCCAGAATGAGGGGTAGATCTGACCAAGGCACACCTCATACCTTTTACAAAATTGAATGATCACCAGGTCTAACGGGCCCAAAATAAAGGGGTAAGTGTAAACACTTGAGTATCCGTTAACGTGGGTAGTGATATCTTCTTCGGGCCCGGGAACCACCAAGTCCTTTCCGGTCCAGTTGCATTCCTTATGACTGTAGGGAGGGTCTCTTCGGTGATTAAGCAAATATACCTTGATACTTTCTCGCCCCGGCCCAGAACAGGTGAAGGTTTTTCAACTTTGAAGTCGGCGGTCACCAAGCACCCGCCAGGGATAAATGCGTCAAGAGGAGGTTCTGTCGTTGGTTCCTCGCCGGCCGGCCATGAAGAAAAAGCAAATTCTTTGAGAAACTATCTTAGAAGTTTTCGTCATTTTTCTCTTCAAATGAAGGGTACAAGATGAAGGAGAGGAAGTGAAAAGGGTATGCTTGACGATTTGGAGTGAAGGCAAGCAAGAGTTCTCATAAAGAGCTCAAGAAATCTGGGCACAAGTGCTATGAAATGCAAAGATTCTTAAGAACAAAAGTAGAGAAGGTTTGAATGTAAAGTTTGAATGGATGAAGAATGAGGTATTTATAGTTTTCAAAATGACGGTTCAAAACCAGGAGTGGCAAGACCAGCAACTGACGAGCATTAATGCCCTTAAGACGTGACTGACGAGATGTTTCGTTCATTTTGTCGTTTCTGACGCAGAGTATCGAGGCGAAAATCGGGGACTCATATCGTTTCTTGTCGTTTACTCTCCAAAAAATAAGGGGACTATCTGTATACGGTCGAAATCGGGCCTTTCTATTACACGACAGATCGGGATTGAAATGCGATGGGTTGAAGGTCGACCCCGGGTCCACCGAACCAAGATACGAGGTCAGAGTGCCCGTCCTCGAGGACATCGAATTCGTGACCCCAAAATCAACTCTGATCCCGAATGAGCTCGAAGAAACATTTCCAAACCGAATAATGGAAGGTGAAATATCCGTAACCAGTTGGGTATCACGACGGAAATCTCGGCATGTATCGATGAGGAACCGGCTAGTTAGCAAATCATGGAATTTTTTTGCCTTTTATAGAATTGTACCTAAAGTAGGATTCCCATACTATATAAAGGGGTCTGATTATTTGTAAAACACATTGTAACACGCATCCCAAAGCATTATAATATAATTTTCTTCCTGCAAGCTACTGTTCTTCTGTATCTGTTATCATTTGAATTACATCCAGTTCGAGTGAGACTTACTTTTCAAGGCTATAACTGTTCAAGTCATACGATTTGAATTTACTTTATTATTGCTCGCTTCATTTATAATTCAATTTATCGCTTTGTGTCAAATTAACCCACGTATCCTTAAAAATACTTATAGATTCAATTGTTATCCGATTTGAGGGTAAATAGATCCGACGAACTTTCTTCTATTCTTTGCTGGAAAACGCCATCTCCGACGAACTTTCTTCTCTTCTTTGTTATTTAGTCACATACAATGATACAAATACATTGTATTCTGTACAAATTCACTCAAACACATTGTATTTTTATATAAATATATATATTTTTTCCCTATATTTATGTATTTCGAAGGTCTGTATTTTTTAATACAGCTGAATACAGGATATAAATATTGAAATACACTGAATACAAACATTGAAATGGAACAGAATATAAATAATGAATACATTTACTTTTAAAATACAGTAAAATATAGTAAAATACACTGAATACAAATAAAAATACAGTGAATACAACCAATGAATATACTGAATATAGTAGTAATAACATGTATTAGGAATAACTAAAATATTGTACAAATACATTTGAATACACTGAATACAAAATAGTGAATACAGTAAATACAAACATTGAATCTAATGAATGCAACAATAAAAAAACAAATATTGAAACACACAAAATACAAAAGTTAAATACAACAGTATATACAACTAAAAAATCATTCTAATTAATTGGGTTGATAAGGAGGCATGTTAGAATTGATTTTGTTGAGTTATATTAGGAGTGTATCACGCTAATTGATCGTATTTCCGTTATTAGACAGCTAGATAGACCTATTTTTAAGGTGATTGTCGTTACTGTATTCATGAATACATGGCACGAATAAATGTGAATACAATCGCGTATAGCTGTAACCCCCTATTTTTAGGCGACTTTTGCTACTGTATTCATGAATACAGTAGCGGGAATACATCGAATACACTATCGTAACAACTGAATAGTAGCTATAGGAAGTAATTATGCATATGTTAGCTATAGGAAGTTAATAGCCACTAAACAATAGTGGTTTCTGAAAATTCCTCTACATTTAATAGTCTAAAATGTCTATTTTGTATATTTTTTGTATAGTGACAGTCTATTTTATATATTTTTTGTACAGTGACAGTTTATTTTGTATATTTTTTGTATAGTGACAATCTATTTAGTATATTTTTTGTATAGCGACGGTCTATTTTGTATATTTTTTTGTATAGTGACAGTCTATTATGCATACTTTTTTTTTGTATAGTGACAGTCTATTGTATATAAACTATATAGTGATAGTCTATTTAGTATATTTTTTTGTATAGTGACAGTCTATTCGCATATATTTTGTATAGTGGCAGTCTATTTAGTATATTTTTTTTTTATAATGACAGTCTACTTTGTACATTTTGTATAGTGACAGTCTATTTAGTATATTTTTTTGTATAATGACAGTCTATTTTGTATATACTTTGTATAGTGACAGTCTATTATATATATTTTGTCTAGTGACAGTATATTGTATATATTTTGTATCCCGAGCACTTTTACCTATCCAACGTGTATAGACTGTTGTATGATGTATAAAAGTGCATATATTATTTTTTTAGCTTAACCTTATCTATTCCAACGTGTATAGACTATTTTGTATAGAAATTTATAATTAAGAAGCTGTTGACATTTCTATTAAAACAAAAATCAAAGAATTCAAGGTATGCAATGGTCAGCACTTATTCAAGCTTTAGCTTTACGTCCAGCATTTAGGCTTACTGGAATTGGACCTCCATAGCCAGATAACACTTACGCTTTGCAACAAGTTGGGTGGAAGTTAGCGCAATTAGCGGGAACTATTGGGGTCGAATTCGAATTTCGGGGATTTGTAACAAACTCATTAGCAGATCTTGATGCTGAGGTTCTGGATCTAAGGTCAAGTACTGAAACAGAAGTGGTGGCTGTTAATTCTGTTTTCGAGCTGCACAGATTATTAGCAAGACCTAGGGCTGTAGAAAAAGTGTTGAAATCCATCAAACAAATGAATCGTGACGATTGACAAGAAGCGAATCATGACGCTAGTTTTTTTGGACGGGTTTAACGAGGCATTACATTATTTATTCAACAATGTTTGATTTGTTAGAGTTCAGTATCATCATCATCCACTGGGTTGACTCAGCCGATTATTAACAATCAAGATTTGGTTATGTCTTAGGTGTATTTGGGGAGACAGATATGTAACGTGGTGGCTTGTGAAGGTGCGGACCGAGTTGAGCGGCACGAGACACTAAGTCAGTGGCGAGTTAGGATGAACTCGGCCGTGTTCGATCCGGTTCATCTCGATCTTTTACGTGAGAAGCAAGATTCATTTCATCTAAAACCTTGCGACCAGTGTTTCATTGCACTTTAAAAGTGTATACAAATCTTCATCCTCACCACTGCTAGGATTAGGAGACGAGCTCGATCTTTTACGCGTTGACACTTGAATTCAATATAATATTCCACCTAGATTTCAAGGTTGTAGCTAGGTAGTTATACCGAATATACACGCAGGTATAACCGCACTTTTCCAAGGCTCATAGTACCTAGATACTGTACAGGTTCAACGATCTTTCAGCACATACCACGAGCTAGAAGCTAAACTTTGATATTTCTGCAGGCGGAAGCAGTTAAAGTTGCCTTCAACATGCTCCATGGTCTTGTGACCAAAACCTTTGTCTCACTCTGAAGAATTTAGGAACAATTAGAAACACATCAAGTACAGCATGAGTTTCAACAATATCAATTAGGTGCGTTATTGAGCTAACACCAGGTCATAATCTTCCTCGTAAATGGCAAGGCGCATGATTCCTGCACTCTTATTTGGGTAATAAAGTTCATATTTGTGAATACAAACCAAGAGGGGCATTGGCTAGCTTCTACAACAAATAAATAAATCAAGAACTCCATTAAAGCTTTGCGTGTGTATTTTCACTCATCATACAGTTTAACAGCCTGGATATGCATGACTAGCAAGTACACAAAATAACAAGGTTTCTCTCCAAAAGCAAGGTAATCCAAGCCCCGGAAAACTTTCCAGGCTTATTTCATTATATATTGCATTCCTTCAGTTTCCTATGACTACCAGCTGTGTTAGCAGGTTGCAGAAGCTATTAATAGATGAAGTACCCGACCACTGCAAAAATAACAATACTGCTAAATGAAAAGTTTAATAAGGTGTCAAGCAGCCTCAAGTCTTTCTGTGTTGTCAAGCGAATAGACATCCATAGCAAGATGAGAACGATGGCTGGTCATAACTGGCGGAAATGAAGCTTCAATACTTGCCTTATCTGCCAAGACTCTTTCTTCAGGGTATACAAAAATGCTCAACTAGCACCTGAAAGCTCCATCCATCTAGTGAACAGACCTTGAAGATCAGTAGAGCAAAAAGCATCAACATTACAACAGTCCAAGATAAAATTCGAGCATTAGATCTTGTGTATACCAGACATGTTTACATGAATTACTATCATGCTTTGACTTACAATTTACACAGGAAAATAGTTGAACTACAATTCTATCCATCCAGATAACTGCTGCCAGGTTGCTACTAGTATTTGGGAAAACCTTCAGAATGGAAAAAATTTAACGAGATATGTGCATTACAGTAATTGCAACCTAAGTTGCTCAACTCACGTGCGGATCTAGAAGTCAGATTCTTCATGATCTAAATTTTAAGATTCGGGATGCGGATCCAAGTACGGATATGGGTGCGCGGGGATTCGGCTAAAAGTAATTAAAATATCTAAAAACAGAGGTATAAAATATGTCTAAATTATGAAACATTATAAGGAAAACTTATAAGGTATTCCAAGAAGGAGAAATTTTGATCAAGAGGAGAATCTGAGGAGATAAAAGGAAAATAACATTAGAAACTTTTTATACAAAGTATTCTATTTTCTTCAATTTCACCCTAACATTTGTTATGATTTCAAAAATCAATGTATCTGTCCCTAGATTTCTCCGTTGATTTTGGTCAAAGTACCCAAAATCGGTTGGCCAGATCCCGTATGGATCCCACACCAACGTCGTGTCAACACGGGTGCGGCACCAAAAGTAAAGAGTCCGAGCAACTTAGATTGCAGCAATATCTCAAATAAGGGAATCACACCATTTTTGGCCAATTTTCACACTAAAAGAATTTGAAATAGTTTAAATTGGAAAGGGCCTTTATTTAAATTCATGTATATCAATCAGAGATGCATGGGAAACAAGGTTGTTGAGCATTTGCGCTAGAATTGCAAAAGATGCATCTTTAGCAAGACGGCAAGCCTTGGAAACACTAAGTAATACATCAAAACCTCAAAGTTTCATATCTTTCAAGCATTCAGGATAGAGACGAACGACTATAATTGTAACTGCCCAGAGTATCCCTCCAACATGTCTTCCTTTTGGATGACATACACATAAATTTCTCTAGGTCCTAATGATGACATAAAGCTTCCCAGAATTAACACATATTTTGTGAAGTCGCTAAAACTCCGTACAGCAGCAAAGGTTTTTGAATCAGAAAAAGTAATACATAAGAAATGAAATGAAACTTGGCTAACCTCATGCTACTCCAAACGTTTGAAGCCTGTCACAGTGAGGAGTTGGGTACTTCCTGTTCCATTGTCGCCTTTGGAGTTCTATATGACAGTAACGACCAAGCATATTTTTGTAATCCCTGATAACATGGTCTTCAATGTTTTCTCGAGCAGGACTATCAAGAGGATATTTCTGATCAAATTCAGGCGATTTAACAAAATATTCTACTCCATGTTCTTCTGTAATCTTCCTAAACTGATATTGGTAGTTCTTCTGCAAAGAATACTCAGGCTCCGAGAAAGGAAGATAAGCAAGTAAGATGATAAGCAAAAATGGTAATAACTGAAGGAGGAGAAGCAAGTTAGGCCCAGTGGAACCTAAATCCTCTCTCTGTGGAGCAGCATTTGTTCTTGTCCTGTAAACATGAGATGTCCTAAACATATCAGAACGACCAAAAAATGCCCTGAAAATCTCGTCAGGATCAAAATCATCATCATAATAGCTGTGCCCAGTTCTCCTCCTGCGTCTAACATTATGCTGCTGATTATACTCAAATTCCTCAGCCAAACCAGTCTGGTCATACTGCCTCCTGGAATCATCATCACTCAAACACTTAAACGCCTTAGAGACTTTCTTAAACGCCTCTTCAGAGCCCGGAGCCTTATTTTTGTCAGGATGAACTTTCAATGACAGTTTTCTGTATGCTTTCCTGATCTCCTCAACTGAACTACCCTTCTCTAGACCAAGAATAGCGTAATAGTCCTTCTTAGTCTTAATTTGCCTAATCAACTGCACGTGTTCTTCTGTATAGTTCCTCTCCCCGTCAGATACATCATCAGACTTGACACGACTCGTGACATTATTCACATTTTCAACATTTCTAACCTCACTTGAGGACCCAGCAGCTGACGACTCCAGATTTTCACAAGCAGCCAAAAGATCTTCTACAGATAAATTACTGTTAAGGCGCCGTGCAATTCTAATAAACTTGAGCGCTCTCTGCTTATTGCCAGATGCAATTGCATCCTTGGCAATACCAATGCATTTTAAAGCCTCATCCTTGTTACTATCCATCTTATCGTTCAAATCAACAACTTCAACTCAACTCGACAAGAAACCTTAAACTGAATTTCGGCACTGAAACAGAAACACAATCTTCTATGGATCACAATACACCCAGAGAAAAAAGCAATCGCAATGTCGATTCACCTGATTACCAAAATACCAAACAAACTCAAAATTATCACACATAAACATGCAATGAGCATTTTACAGTATAAGTTAATATCTATCAATCAAGACAAAAAACACGCAATCTACTAGAGATCATGAGACACACAGAGAAGTGATGAACAATTCACCTGACTACCAATAAACATAACAAACTGCTCCAAAATTAACAGACAAGCAAGTAATGAAGCACAATAGTGTTGATCAATAACATAAAATCTGAAAATATTACGAGATGTAACAATTAGAACTTGAAACACGTGGAATTGTATCACAAATGAACGAATAACCACTGAAAAATAGACATTATACAACCACATCACAATATTCACAGAGAAGCAACCGCAATTCAATTTACCTAATTAACAAGACACCTAACAAATCAAAATTAAGCAATTTGGCACAGTGTTATCAAAAGCGAAAAGCGCAAAAAAGCTCTAAGGTACATCGGGGCTTTAAGCGCAAAGCGCAAATAAAGCGTGGGCTTTAATGAAGAAAGACGCAACTGCAGAAAAAAAGACAAATATGCATGTGTAGTCCAAGACTAATAATTTTAAGCATGAATAACAAATATATAGATAAAGAAATTGAATTTTTTTTTACAATAAAGTGAAATATCAATTGTTTAGGTTTGCCTCTTCAGTATTACGCTCATTGGCAAGGAAAAATATGACTTAGAGCCTTGATGACAAGGCTAAAGCGCCCACTAAGCAATGTGAAGCGCTCAACATGTTCTGAGCCTCGTTTTAGGGCTTAAGCGCGCTTTAAGCGCACCTTTGACAACACTGATTTGGCACTGTCCAACATCACATCATTAAAATTGGAGGGGGGGAGGGGGGGAATTAAATTAGAGCTTGAGTTGTCTAAAATTGCACTGCAAATGAACGAACGTCCACGAAAAATAAACATTTACTATAAATCACAATACTCATAGAAAAGCAATGATCGCAATTCAATTTGTATAATTACTAAAACACCTAAATTCACACCAGAAAACATGTAATAAAGCAAAATATTGATGGAATATTGACACATAGAGGCTTGAATAGTTTAGAATTGTCTTGCAACTATGCATATTCACTGAAAAATACACATTCAAACAGAAACCGTGATACTCACAGAAGCAGAGATTGCAATTCAATCAGTGTTGTCGAAGGAGAAAAGCTCTAAAAAGTGCTCTAGGTCAATCGGGGCTTAAAGCGCAAAGCGCAATTTAAGTGTGGGCTTTAGTTAAAAAGGCGCAATGCGAGAAAAAAATAAAAATATATATGTAATTCAATAGAAAAGTAACAGCCTATTCTTGAAATAAACAACTCGCAATCATTCATATTATTTTCCTTAACAACTAATACACTTATTTGCCGATTATATTTGTAGTCTAGAATTGCTCCATTCAAGATAGAATTCAGGAGCAATAAGGGGCACGTCTTGGTGGTCTGCGGTCCGCCTACATTGAAGCACAGCTCAAGTGAGGCGAAGCACCCTCCCTGAGCTTTTCTGAGCTTCAGGGCTTAAGCGCGCCTTAAATGAGCCTTAAGCGCGCCTTAAATGAGCCTTTGACAACACTGAATTCAATACACCCGATTACTAAATAACTAATAGTTACTCGAAGTTATCACAGACTAATGTGTAATGAAGCAAAAAATCAACTAGATATTAAATATTAGGGCTTGAATTGTTTATAACTTTACTACAGATGAACTAAATCCGCTGAAAATACACATTCTATCAGAAAACACAAACAAGCAACGATTGCAATTCAATTCTCCTAATTACAAAAATACCAACCAATTACTCAAAATCACACACAAGCATGTAATGAAGCATAAAAAATCGAAGAGATACAGAAAATTAGAGCTTGAATTGTCAATAAATGAATTAAATCCACTAAAAATTGTTTATTCTATTATGGATCACAATACACACAGAAAGTCGCGATCGCAAATTCAATTTTCCTAATTACGAAAATACTTATCCAATTGCTCAAATTCAAATATAAAAATGTAATGAAGCGAAAAATATCGATGAGATATTGAAAATTAGGGCTTGAATTGTATGAAATTGAATTGCAAATGAATATCGACTAGGAAATTAATAAAACTCACCTTCTATCGGAAATGATGTCTGAAGAACGACCGACGGGCGAGCAGACGGAGAAAAGAAAACTGGTGTTTCGTCTTCTTTTGAGAGTCGCCAAGAGGTAAAAATGATAACTATGTGAAGAGTGGTGCGAAGATTTGAGGTCTTTATAGTCGAACCAATTCACACGCGCCACATCACTCAACCAGTGGGCATCAATACTAAAAAATATTAATTAAGTGATCAAGCTTGTTTCAACGTATCAAATCGTATTGCTTTAATAAATTTCAAATAATCATGGTATTTGTCAATACAATATATCCAATAATAAAATTTCTACTAAATTAAAAGAGACTTATATAGTCATCGAATAACTTTTTTGTTCTGTATAAAAAAAATTATTACTAGCATATTACTTTGTTTAATATTTTTCTGTGCTAATCTCCTTTTAATATAATAAAAGAAATACTATATTTTATTATACTTCAAATATATTTTATTTTAAATTTTATTCTGTCAATAATATTGTTTAGATTTTAATGAATAAATAGACTTTTTATTTTAAAAAAAAAAAGAATATGATAAAAAAAACTAAGAAATTAACTAACATGAATCAGCCCTTACCTACGTCTGAATAGTTAATTTTAGGTAAGCTAATTTCTTTGTATCTTTTTTTTATTTTTTCTTTTTTTTTATTTAAACAAAAAGTGTACTTATTAAATTCTAGTTTCGCGTGAAAATTACCCAGAAAATTGTGCTGAATTGGTAGTGTTTTATTTTTATTTTTTATTTTAAATTTATCTTAAAACTCCAACCTGAAACGACTGCCAAATTTGAATAGGTAATTTCTTTATATATACTTTCGTTTTTTATCAAATAATTTTAAAACTCTAACTTTTTTGTAGTTTTGTCCTAAAAATCTACATCATCTTATGGTTGTGCCACTTGGCATCATATAATTACTTTACTTATATATATATATATATATATATATATATATATATATATATATATATATAGATAGATAGATAGATAGAGAGAGTTTTGCTATCCTACTACATGGTTGTAGTAGGTTAGCACTTTATACATCTTTTGATTCTCCAAAATACATTTACAAACATCTTCATTTCTTGTAACTGAGGACTTTATTGTTTTTCCATCGAACTTTTACACTACCAAGAAATTCACATCTGGGTCCTCACTTTCCCTCCCACTTTTCTAGCGAGTTTCTCCTCCCAATTTTGTTTGCCGGCAACATCTTTTTTTTCTTTCTCGAACAAGCCAGGACCAAAGAANAACTTTACCTAAATTATAATTGTACTTCTCTAGGTTTATCCTTCCACATGAAATGGTGGCCAATAAAAATTATGATGGAATGTTGTGCTTGTGTAAATTCTTCGACAGTATTTGATGAATGACTCTTGCTTTCATAATTCTATCCATTCGAATAAAGATGAAGAGTTCCCGGATAAGAAATAAGCCTGAGTAGTCGCTGGAAAAAGCAATGGGGAGGACAGATTCGTGGTTTTGCTAAGTTAGGTTTAAATTTTAGAGATGAAATGATGGAATTTTGATGTGAATCTCAAAAACTCCTTAAATTTAATTTGGTGGCAACAAATACTAAGGGTATTTTGGAGAATCAAAAGATATATACAATGCTAACATACTACAATTGGGTAGTAGTTTAGCAAATATATATATATATATATATATATATATATATATATATATATATATATATATATATATATATATATATAAAACCTTAGGTTGAATCTTTAGAATCGTCCATTTATTAAGAAGATCTAATTGTTGTGGTACATCGTATTCCTCTTTGCTACTGTTTTTAATAGCAGCCTATTTCTTAATGAAATTCATTATGATACTATGTGTTGAACTTAGCACCTATTACTACTCATTCACATGGCTCTGATACCATTTGTATTATGTACAACACTTCAAGAAATTGATATTGAAGCTTATCTGCAACAACACTTCAAGACAATCATGGAAGAATCTTCCAGCAATACAAAAAATAATAAAGGTAAAGAAAAAGAATGAGAGGGTTCACCTTCTGAATTATTGGGGTAATGAAGACATAAAACTTTTATAAAGAGATTCTTTAATAAAGTAGAGGTCTACCTTATCACGTTCGGGCACGTTATTTAAAGTTGAAATTATTAGAATAACCTAGGCACACCTTATCAATAAATATAGGGAAATAACTGTTTATTCAAAAGGATCCATTATATAAGGATCCTATCGGATTTAGTTAGGAACGAGCTTTTCTTTTTAGAAATTTTCTTTCATAAGTTTTCTCTTTTGGAAAGAACACCATCTCTTGTACATAGTTTTTATTTATAAAAATTTTGAATAAAATTCAAAAAAGGTCTTCTATTGGCCACAACCCCGGCTTATCCATGTATTGCTAATTTTTGTTAATTCCTATTATATTAGGATTCGTTTAGCCTAAATGATAGGTTAAATAATATTGTGTTGAGCTTAAGCACACTAAGCCACTATGAACATGTTTTGTTACTGTTAACAACTGTATCACCCGATGGTCCTAAGGTTGAGACTATAGAATCCATGCAGTATGCCCAGGTTATGATTTCATAACCAGAGGTCCCATTGAAAAGACCCAATGTAGCCGAAAAGGGCGCTAAGGGTCGTGGGGGATTCAGGTTTTGGGTTTGCTTGACAGGACTATTCGCTTGACAGGACTGGTGTCTCGGTAAAAACTTCTCGTGTAGTTCCCTCGAAACGATCTAGAACACAAATGTCCAGAACACAAATCTACTATGGTCTTTTTTTTTTCTTTTATCTTATTCCGGTTAAAAGCCTGCTACGCTTCCTTACTCAACAATCAAAGAAGCATTTTCGATTCCCCGATCCACTCTCGTGCTAACATGCTAACAGCGGTTTAGGTAAGCCAGGGGCTAAGCGGGAATGCCCTATCTAAGAGCCTACTTCCTTCTGATCTTTCTGCTCTTGGGGATTCATCTCTACCTTTTTCATAAAATGTAGTGGTGGAATTTCACCACGAAAGGTAAGGAAGAACTGTGGTTCAACTCCACAGCGTGGTTAGAGCAGACAGAAGTAGCGGCTATTGCTATTTCATTCCCTCCCACTCTTTTAGCTCTGATCGTAAACGCTCTTCTTCCAATAGGAGTTATTCTTGTTCCTGAGTGGAAGGTACGCTCAGCCCCTGATACATTGCTATTTCTATCCAATTTCAGTGCCATATGAGTCAAGAGCTAGAGCAATAAAGTAGGGATTTTAGGAAAGCGGATTATCTTCTCGGGGAAGCGGTGCGATGGCTACTGAATAACCTCCTTTTACTTTCTCAATAATATATATATATATATATATATATATATATATATATATATATATATATATATATATATATATATATATATATATATATTAGAAGAAGCTACTCCTCAATTAAATTGGTAGTTTTTTATTTTCTCTTATTTTCCTTTTTTTTTGTTTTAAAATAATATTAAAACTCCAATTCGAAACTACTCCCCAATTAGAATGGACAGTTTTTTTTCTTTTTATTTTTTTGTTATATTTAATACTCCAACTTTTTTGGAGCTTTGTCCTAAAAATTTACATTTGTCATCTTATGGTTATACCACTTGGCTTAATATGATGGCTTTGTTTCTCCTTTTATTATAAATGATATATATACTTGGTTTAATATGGTGGCTTTGCATATCCTTTTATTATATATACTTACATTTGTCATCTTATGGTTATACCACTTGGCTTAATATGGTGGCTTTGTTTCTCCTTTTATTATATATTATATATATACTTGGTTTAATATGGTGGCTTTGCATATCCTTTTATTATATATAGATATGGACTACTGCTATTACGTTACCTAATACATAGTATGTCATGTTTTCATGTGACCTTCTGTAGACAATAAATTGCGTCGAGAAACTAAAATCAAGACCGAAAAATATTGCAACAATCGTAGTATTTTATTTCAAATATTTGAGTGTTACAATCTCTATGACTCCTCTGATTCTAGGACTAATGACCTCAATAGAAATGGAAATATTTTTGTATTTTTTTATTTAAAAAATATATACTAGAACCGGCTGAATAAAAATAAAAATAAAGATAATATATTAGAATCCTAGAAAAATTAAAATAACTCAAATAAAATAAATATTTAAAATATGTGAAACTACTAATATAGCTTGAAGACGTGGCGGGTCAAAAATTACGTGCTTACGGATGGAATCCATGCCTCGATTTAGAGATCGATGATACACCTTTATGAAAGCTTATAAGTTTTTATGTGTAAACCTGGCTGGTGGATTTTGTATCCGACAAATGAAATAAGTTAAGCGAAAGTCTAAAGGAAATAATCAATAAATTAAATCGTCAGTAATTTAATTTAATTGATTAGTATATGAATCTTAACATGGGGAGTTAAATAAGATTTAATGGATGAATTTCGAAATTGAATAAGGAGTGCAATTACGAATTTTTAATGAAATAATTCGTAATTAATTATGGTAGATATTAATTTCGAAAATTAGAAATTTATTCCATAATTGGAGCCTTGTTAATCTTTTCAATAGTAAATAAATTCAAGGGCTTTCGAGCTTGATCTTGAATCTATATTTGTTGCCACGAACGATGATCTTGAATTCAACTAGCACGAACATTGATTTGAACTCGTACTCTTTGAACCTTGATTTGTTCTTCGTTCTTGAGCTTGAACTTGATTTGTTCTTCCTTCTTGAGCTTGAACTTGATTTCTTGAACTTGAACTTGATTGCTTGAAGCTTGAAACTTGTAGAGAAATTTGTGGCGTTTGATCCACGAGCTCTCTCTTGCTTCTTTTTATACTTCTGGTGTCTTTTCTGGGTTATGAAGACCCCTATTTATAGTTGTGGGAGGAAAGATGACATCTTGGGCTCAATGAAGTGGGCTCATCACTTTAGCCCAGTTAAATGGGCTAACCCAATGGATTAACACTTATTTATTTAATCCATATATATTGGACTTATATAACTAATCAACTTATATTAGCCCAATAAATTTATTTGAACTAATATCTTGAAGTTAAAATATAGTCCAAATTATTTTATTGAATCTAAATTTA